TGTAATTAATTGAACGCGGATCCTCGCGACGTGCCGATAGCGCGCGCGGGCGACGCGTCGTTTCTGTTTTTCCACAGTTACGAGACCCGTTCGTCGGAATTTTACCCTAACCACTCTCCCAATTCTTTCCCTCTTCGCTCGTTACTCTCTATTCATTACTCGAGCGTACACGTGCACGCTCGATAATCCAAGTATGTGCAATTCAAGCGTACAAAATTGTAACGACTTCCTGCGAAATCGCAACGCGAGCGCGAATGTTATATCGCAAACATTCCAACTACCTGGGGGATAGATTAGAAAGTCGGCAGAATTTCCGCGAGGATACAGCTCAGTGTGGCAACTTTTTACGGTTGTGGAATATCGCGAGTCATAAAGCGTTATCACGACTGAGTCGACAATGCGATATTTAAATTGAGCACATTCTTTACGATATACCGTAAGGTGTTTTTTTCTTTTTCTCAGATACATGTGAGATGACACTGGATTTTCACGAATTTTTCCGCATCGAGCCACGAAATTGACGAAGCGGATAGTATAAAACGGCAAAGCAAAGGAGGGACTGGCGAAATTAGAACCTTAGAAGAAATCGTTCCTCGAAGAGCATGCCTACGGAATGCACTCGATAACCTTGGCTCGTAAGACGGGTTTAAGTTGAACGCGAGAACTGCACTCTACACCGAACGAGAGTCACGAGGCACCTCCTGCGAGAGATGCTCGATCGTCTTCCTCCTGCGAGCCGCATCCTCGAGAAGCTAATCGTTAAAACCCGAGTCGAAATTTTCATTCTACATTAATCCTGCAAATACTACAAATCTTGAAGAAGAGTCAAAATTTGTAAACAGGAACGTAAGTCATCGGCAGGGTAAAATAAATGGCGCGCGCGCGCGAGTGTATGTGTGTGTGTGTGGAAATTAGAAAGAAATAGTAATAAAATAAGACAGATGAAGATTAGAAAGGTTAAAAGAAAATTAAAATAGCTGGTGGTAATTTAAATTAGATTGGCGAGGTAAGACTCCTTAAGACCCGAGGACTTAAACTCGACAAAAAATTAAAGTTAAGTTAAGCGGTCAAAAGTGGCGCGAAAGAAACACGATGAAGCGTGACGGGAGAGTTCTTTTTCGGATCATCATCACTACGGATCGTCGAGTCTCGTGCGCAGACCTAAACCCCGAGCGGTACAATGGCATTTTAATTTAGTTTGGAGGCCGATAGGGTGTGGAACGCGTCTCACGTGCGGCTCGTAAACAAGGGATGCCCCCTCGTTGACGTCGCTTCGCATTTACGTGTCCACGAACCCTCTTATGTGGCGGGAGTAATAAAGCCCGTGCTATTATTAGATTGTTCGGTGTGGTTATTTTTTTCGATACAAAGATCGTAGCCCGAGTTATCGACTTTGCGCTCTCTCGTTCGTACCAAGCCCGAACCGCCACCGCGGCTTAGATTGGAAGTCGGTCGATACAGACGGTGACGTCGCCTCGGGACCTCGGAGCTATGCATAGCAGAGCATTAAACGAATGAACGAACGACAGAAACCTCATTCAGAAAATCCGCGTCTCGAACCATGATCGTTCCATCGGCTCGCCTTTACGATGCCCTCGGACGGGTTCTAAGGCCGATTGTATAATACTGGGTGCAGCGGCTCTGCATGTTCGATAGCTTCGGTGGAAAGGAGGCGAGATTTCCGCAAGCGAATTTGGGATCGACGATGCTTTGACAAGAAATATCGGCGAAAAATCATCGGCTACTTTTATTCCCGACAAAGAAGCCTGATATTTCGTCGAGACAAAATCAAACAGAAACCTATCGAAAATCAAAGTTACGTCGTTCGTTTATAGCCCCTCGAAGCGAATTCACGAAAGCCTTTTTCAATTTCAATATAAAATATTTTCGCGAGATTCGAGAGAAAGAAAGAGAGAGAGAGAGAGAGAGAGAGAAAGAGAGAGAGAGAGAGAGACAGAAAAAGTGAGAGGAAAATTTTACGCTGAATAAAAATCGAGATGAAATTTAACGGAGGCCTCTGTTTCTAAAATTTATAGAAGCCTGACGATTTAATGCAGTCGTCAGGATTTCTTATTTTTTACGCTCAGAGAGACCTGACGCGAATGGGGAAATTCAAATAAATTATTAAGACAAGGACTACTTCTATTTTGCATCACCTCTCCTTTCATGCAAATCCCATTTATTAGGCTTACAAATTAACGCGCGGGCTGTAAGAAGCATATTAATCATGCAAATCGAGAACTACCGAATATAGAAACGACTCGTATTCGAGTCGACCTCGAGTATCAGTCGCCGAGGAAGCGAATTGGAAGAGCTGTTGACAATGGGAGATCGTACCAGACGTAACGTTCGTTATACAACAATAGGGCACAATAACGGTGACAACTATTGTAAGCCGACTAATTGTTTCTTGAGAGCCAATAATTACTCTGACTTAGTTGCGCGCATTTAAACAAGATGTATCAGGTATTGTGTATGTGCGTGTGTAATGCAAATGTGTATGTCGAGTAACACCGTATTGTCGCTGAAAAATCCTTCGGTCAACGATTATTATTATTCCTCTCTAACAGATTTTTAATCTATAGAATTTACAGATTTTTAATCTATAGATTTCTTTGAATATCTAATCCAATCCGCCTATCGCTACCCTAAAAAAATTCTTAACTTTTTACCGGTTAAATATTACGAAAATTCTTTAAAATATTTTTTTTAGAAGGTAATCTATTAACGCGTTGAAGCTTTCGAAGAGCTTTACTCGTTATAAATCTTGGAATGGAAATTTTGCGACGAGATCGGTGCGTGATTTGTATTCATGGGAGCATCACGTAAATACGCATCCTAAGCCGTCTCGCCCTTTCTCATCTCATTTTTCCGAAGTCACCGTAAGTCCGTGAGAGAAAGTGCGACGTCCGACTCGTCCGATCAACAGAAAATCAATATATCATTTGATAAACGCTATCAAAAGGATCCGAAGTTTACAGTGTCAAAATGCCAGCTGGCAAGTCTCTTCCTCTCCCTCTCTCTCTCCCTCCACGGAGAATCGTTCGAGAAATGTCTGCTTGTAAAAACCTAGGAACCTTTAATAGAATGCTTTTATCGCAACAAAGATGGAAAATGTCACACGAAAATAAAAGCGTAATTAAATATCCACCTTATTGAATTTTTATCCGGCTCTCTTTCTCTCTTCAAATGGCCGAAAATGTTAAACGTCGAAAAGTTAAAAAAGCCAAGCGCCTCGCGTTCCCGTGACAATGATTATGGCAAATGTTTCGTTATACCAGCATGGCAGGATAAATACACGTGTGTGACATTAAATTTGCACCCACGGGTGGCCCCGATCGTCGCCAAGCGACAAGAGTGAAGGATAAAAGGTGAAGATGCGCATCTAAAAATATCCGCGTCCTAAAGTGCATGTTCTTAAATTACTCGGCTGAGAAAATGACGAAATGAATAGGTCCGAATAGAACTAACAATACGTGTTCATTCCGTCCGATATTTTCAAATATAAACAATTGCACGCAAGTAAAACATGTACTTTCCATAAATACTCGGTAAAGACAAACGAAGTATCGAAGGCAAAGGGGTGTGAATCGAATCTATAATTCGCAAGTGAAAACAAATTAATTACATCTTCAATCCACACCGCTCCGAGCACACTTCGAATATCCATCTCAAATAAAATGAATAATAAGTAAAATTCTTCTTACACACAATTAAAAAAGTAAGAGAGACAGGGTATTTAAGAGCCTAAATATGGATCTTGAAACGCAAAGGAAAAAAAGAATCAAAACATAAAGTAATAGTCCCATTTATGGGTAGAGTTTCGGGGCAAATTTGGGGTCAAACCTTGTTCATTAATGTTCATCAATCGTTCAACTGACGCATTTCCAGAGCGATCTGCATGATGCAAAATCATTTCGCTCGATCTCCGCGCACGAGATCGAACGTGACGATCTCCGTGCGACCGACTGGTGTGCAAAACTGGCACACCGACAGACGTCGGTTTTTATCCACGGTGTTTAGTAGCTAACGGGTTTCATAGCGAGACAGGCCTTCTCGCCTCGGTGGATTCGCGTTCTGATCCTCGAAACGTGAGTCCCGACCGGCGCACCGTTGCTTCTATCATACATACGCGATAAAACCTGGTCGTAACGCGATACACTCGCTGTTTACCGAGGCGGAGTGGAACGTGACGCGGAGGTATTGACGATTTCGTGTCACGTGCACGCACGCGTGACAGCCACGAAATAATACCCGTCCAAAGCTCAATCGATAGGAACGTATCGAGGCTCTCTCGAAATTCCCATGATTGTTATTTCCATCCGCGCGATCAAAGCGGCCGGCGCACGAGATATCAAATTATTCACGAAAATACCGACCCGCACCCTCGGATATCCATCCCCATGTCGACGAGTCGAATTCATCGCGACGTAATGAACGGAGCGAGTATTTCCGCAAATAATCCACGGGTAATCTGTCAAACACCGAAACGTATTCGACGGGATTCATCGATCAGGAACGATTAAACGGAGTAAACAGTTAATGGATCTTCTTTCGCGAGTGAATAAATGTCGGAAGGCCGGTTTCCGGGGGAAACGAGCGAACCCTTGAATACTGTCTATCTCGCGACAAGCTGCAATCGCAGCGTACGGAATCTCTCGCAATGTTGCCCGTTAATCACATCCTCGAGCAGCGGATAATCGACCCTATTGCTATCGCTAACGCGGATTAATCCTACCCGGAATAATAACGCCGGAAAAAACGCAATCTGCTAAAAGGCTCCCGGACGATTCTTCGGACGTCACTTAAGCAACGAGCCGAGCCGACGCGTTGCCTCGAGGCATCGGACGATAATGAAGAAAGTCCGGTGGTTTGCGTGGGACGCGCTCGCGAATCCATCACCTCGCTGTCGCGTTTTTAATAATGCGCCGCGTTTTTTCCCGTTTGCTTCCGCGGGCGCGCGAAACGCCGGTCGTTAAGGATGATTTAAAGTTTCTCACCGGTCATCCTGCGTGACGGTAATGTCGGGCGGGGGCGGAGGGGGCGAGGCACCGTCTGTAGCATCCAGCTTGCCGGCTTTTTACTACGCTGCTTGCTTCCACTGAGAGAGCTGTGCGACGACGCCGCGTCCGGAGCGACTACCGATCGCGAGGACTTTTCGTAGCTGCCTCACACCGTCGGCATCGCGACGTCCTCTCGTCGAGCCCGCTGGAGAATCTCGCGTCTCCTCCTTCTGCTCACTCTTTCTCTCTGTCGCTCTCTCTCTCTCTCTCTCTCTTTTTACTCTCTTATCGTCGAGTCGATCGATCGATCACGTATTTCGCGTTCATACACACCGCGAGCAACGACCCCGGTGGTATCTCGCCGCGCATCGGCGACCGCCTTCTCTCTTTCTCTACGAGCGGGACCTTATCCTCCTTCGCTCGAGAGAGTCAGCCGCGACACAACAACCGCGACTCGTGCTCCTTCCTGTTCGCTTTTCGCCGCACGTCGATCGTGAGCCGACGAGAGTTGATTCGCGCCGCCGCGGAAGTCACGACAACGATCACCCTGGTGCAGCACCTCGTGAACTCTTCAAAAAGTTTCTCCTCGCTCTCCTCTCTCGCTGATCTTCCTCGATTCTCGCGGCGGATTTCGTAAGATTCGTTCGTTCGGGTCTCTCCTCCTCACCGTAATATTCGTAAACCGTTACTCCGGGCCGCTGTTAGATTTATTACGGAATACCATAGCCGTCGTCGCACGCGCGACTCGAGGCTGCGGTGAAAGCGAACGGCGATTATCGCGGAGTCTCTCCGAGAAGCCCGACTGCGCGTCTTCTTGCTCACCTGCGCACCGAGAGCTCCGATCGGCCTGTTACGATCGAGCTCTGCCTTCGCGAACTCGCTCCAATTGTCGCGCGAGTATCGATCCTGCGTTAAATGATTCCTTCAGATGCGCTCACACACTCGCGGGGCGTCCAGGTACTGTAACGTCGCGAAAGCGCGCGGGTCACTGCACGCGCTTTCGGTACGCACGTCTCGTACACGCCGCGAAACGAGTTTCAGACTGAGACGACGGCTCGCTCGAACATCGTCCGCGCCTCGCCGCTTGTCTCCTCGGGAGCGCGGAAGTGCGCGACTCCTCTTCTCCGAGCGATCCTTGAGCGAGAGAATGATCCTCGCGAGAGGCCGGAGCGAATCCTCAAATCTATCCTCGACGATGATGAGCGTCCAGCTTTCCCTGCCGACGAATTGAAAATATCCGCCGATCTTCCTCGGAGAACTTGACGACGCGATTGAGATTCGCGGACTGGCAACAGGTTTCGATTCTCTCTCTCTCTCTCTCTTTCTTACTCTTAGCGTCAATAATTAAACCAGGACAATCCTTTGCGCCGGGCCGTGCATTTCTCAAATGCACGTCAGCCGTGCTTGCTTTCCACGTAGGAAATATCGAGGTGCTTCTTTGTTTATCTCGGCCGTGGACCTCGTTATCGCTCGAGCCGAGGAATCCTACGACGACGAAAGGCTCACCTGGAAGAGGAATGTGTTTTTTCGTCGACGGTCTTCCGCTTATCTCCCGAATTCTAAAGTCCAATAAAAGCGGCTTGTGTTCACGCGTTAACCGGACGAACGCACTTGATGATGATTACGCGCGTGCTCCCGTCAGCCGCGATTACGTACACCTGTGGACAGCGAACGAGAGGTGCATATCCGACTTATGAACCGGTAAAGCGCGATCGAGGAGAGATCCAGGAATCGAGCGGAGGCGTCACTTTTGGCGGGCGAGACACTCTCTGGCCCGAAAAACTCGAGATCGGTCAGGCCGCCGATCAGCGGCGTCTCGTATCATTCGACGAACGGCGATCCCACCGAGTCCACCACTGTCCATCGCACACACTCGCCGCTCCTCTCCGTGCGCGGCCGGTTTCGATTTAACGCCCGGCGCGCTAGCCCGCGACAGAAAGCGCGAGAGACCGCGGGCTGGAAATCGCGAGATCGGAATGCGATTCGCGGGTGCAGTCGCTATTAATCGCAACGCTCGCCGGCCGCCACGGAACACTCGACAAGACTGGAGGTTCTCTCGGTAGGTGAGGCCGGCCTCTTTCTCTCTCGCACGTTGCCAGGAGCGTACGCGGCGCGCGCGAGCCAGGTAGGACTCTCTCTCGTGCACCACGGACGATCGGTGAATGTTCGCAGGATGTGGGTGTGACAGAGAGGGAACCCTCCCAAGTATTGCGTCGAGCTCGTGACAGAGAACCACGCGATCCCGCAGGAGATATTTTGCGCGATATTGCGACTGTCATTTTGTACGTCCGATTAATATTTTCTATGAACAAACGATAACTACACGGAGAAAAAAGATTGGTTAACGTGACTATGCACGAATCGAACACCTTTTGGTCGAAGGAAACAGAATTTCTGATTCTCACAGCCGAATTTGGTTTGTCAGAAATTCTGTTTCTTTCAAACAAAAAGATTGGTCTGTTCATTGTCGAGTTAATTCAACCAATCCCGCTTCTCTGTGTATGAATGAGATCTACTTTCGGTAATGATGTAAAAATCACGGTTAGTAATTAATCATTCTGGTAATGCCTTGCGCTTGATTCAATTCGGATAAGACTCGACCGGGCGTTGAGGCGCGCGATGTTCGAGCGATTGTTGCGACATCGACGTGTATTGCGTCGAGTTTTAATTTTAAGCGAGATGATACAGTAATTAAAACCGCATCCTCGATGCTTTATCGCAGAGTATCGTAACGCGTGTTGTTTTCGTGTAAGATGGCTGCTCCGATAAATTGCCGCGCCAATGCAACACGATGCTATTTTGTATGACAGAGAACTGCCGTTATTTTCAAATTACCGATGCATGTTGCAACACATAGCACGCGGCGTAGTTTATCCGATGCGATTTGCCAATTAAAGCCGCGTTGATGTCATGATATAGCGATCGCGTTACTTGTTTTCAGATCAGCTGACCGCTTCTAGTTTGAGTTGTGTCGATACGTAATGTTGTAACGTTTGTTGTATCATATTTACAATGCGATTTAGCATTGAAACCGTCGCGTCATATATTGCCGCTGCATGTAACGATAAAGAAGAAATTAATATCAGTCAAGTTACAATGAAAAAAAAAAACCCCCCCAGTGCAATTATTCAAACGTCAAAGCTCCCAAACAAAGTTTATTTTGTATCAGAATATTCCTTGCTCGATATATCCAAATACACAGGATATTCGAAATATACGAAAAATATGAAACAAATGCTGGTTCATACCAGAATACGTAACTAAAAATATTATAAATTTTAAATAGTCATCGGATTATACATCATACATTTTTCCATCTAGAGAGAGACCGTGTAGCTTTTGTTCAAAATAGAATTATACGATCCAACAAAAGTTTAAAATTTACGCACACACATATACACATTATTAGGGTACGTTTAACATCTACCCCCCAGGGCTACAAATTTCGATTCTACAAATCGAAGAAATCACTGAGACACTGAAAAATGAGAAAATTCAAGAAACGAAATATCTCATTCGCTGTCAATTAACGAGAAAACGTAAAATCATTACATGGATATTCGTGGTAAGTACGGTACTGCATATATAGTCCTTCTCACTCTGTCGATGTTCTATCCTTCTCCTTCTCTCTCGTTCTCTCTCGGTCTATTTCACTCTCTAATTCCATCTCTGTCACACCAGAGGTACTCGCTTTAGCAGGGTGTCCTCGTCTCTCCCTCTTTCATCCTCGCTCTTCAGCCTGGCCGATCTCTCCTCTGCCATTTATACCGAAGTACCTCTCGGGCGAGTTCGTAAATTTTCGGCACGACCAACACAGAAGAGAGCCGCGAAATGAGGTGCTATAGAGCACGGGAGAAAAAGGGAGAGATAAGGGGGAAAGAAAAGGCAATAGGGGTTAAGAAGTATTAAGTGGCAAACATTATAAACGAGTACAGTAGAGGGGAGATCAAGAAAAACAAGATATGAGAATATGATTAAATGTAGCGTAGGTTGAACAAGAATAATAAAATAATCGAGAATCGTCAGATACATCTGTGCACGTGAAGATAATAGAAATCGGAAGTTTAAAGGGAAAACTAATAAAGAATTTTGTTTCGTACATTTTAGAACGTGAACTCTCCCCTCAGACTATTATAGAAGATAACAAGATCGGGGCGTCAGAGATATTGCACGATGTGGGCAAATAAATACTATAGAAAGGAAGAAGGATCTGTGAGAGCGAGAGACAACGAGAGAACTGTCATTTCATCATCGCAAAGAGGCGAGAAACGGTGACACAAAGGATAAGAAGGAGACAGACGGTCGATTGGCGAGAGCGACGGAGAAAGAGCGAGACGTGGTGAAACGAAGACGATGAGAAAAAGCGGAGTTAAAATGGGGGAGAGAAAGAGAGAAAGAGCGACGGGGTAAGGGAAAGCCGCGAGGAACGAGAGAGAGAAGGCTCTCCCACGTAACCACGCCCCACGTTCGCCGACAGATTTTTACGTGCAGACTGACCGGGGGAAGGGGAGCATCGAGACCCATGGGACGCCCGTCCCGTTTGCACCGCGAATCCCTCTCTTCCTTCTCTCTCTTTCTTTACCGGAGGTGGAAATGCACGCAGGACGTCGCCCAGGATTTCCTCTCCTCGGAAATACGCCAGTGGCGATCTCGCGGACACGCTAGAGCGACGTCGCATCTGCTCTGTCATCGAAATATGGGGAGGAAAAGAGGAAAAAGGGGGAGGAAGAGGAGGAGGAGGAGAACAGAACGACGAGGAAACGGCGCATTAAAACGGCCGTAGAGATTAATTTGTTGGAATAGCGCACTGCGCGCGCGCGCTCTTATTACTTTATGATAGAACCGCGACCATCGCGTTGTCATCCTCCTCCTCCTCCTCCTCATCGTCGTCATCGTCGTCGTCATCGTGCTCGTCTATGCACATTAGACGCACGCAGCACGAAGAGCGTCCCGTTCCACCAAGCGGCAGCCGAGCGTGTGATGGCCGCGGATAATAAGCGCTCCACATTCTTTTTTTCCGCGGGCGGCATCGTGCGCCGGTAAAAGAGCATCGTGCACAAGCGCGTGTGTCTTCCGCTTAAACAATCTCTTTAGCGGAAAAACAAAATAGAACATCGATTTAGTTATGTTGCAGTTCGCCGTACGCTAAACGCGGAAGTCTTATCTCTTTAGACGGTATTGTTGTAACTCTTTCATTACTGGTCTCTGTATTTATTAAGCGTGTGCCTCTAAATACTATGTATATACGAGTGTGTGCACATATGAATCGCTGTTAATTATCGTGAAAATGCTCCCTTCGATCGTTATCGAAATTTCAGGAATTTCCCAATAATTCATCTATATTGCAGTCTATGCATCTATGCATTCATATTGCAGTTTTGAAATTGTTTCGAATTAATCAACGGCGAAATATTACTATCCGCATTTTGACCTATAACGGCTTTATGTATATCCTTCTATTTATAAGAATTATTTACTAAATAAATCGCATTTTATCGACTAGAATCGCACAGAAGCATCTTGAGAAGACGCACGGGGCACATATGTCTGAGTGATTTGATGAAATTTTTTTTTCAGAAAATAATTTATGAAACTTGCTGAATGCTAAGTAATATTTGTCGTTTGCAAACAACCCGGAAGAGCGTTCATAAACTTCTTCATTAATGCGGAGCCTGCCACTTTTCAAATAAAGAAAAGAATAAACACACGGCAGGGGAAAAAATCTCCAAAAACATATTTTAGATTTATCCGTAGACTTCGAAGCAACGGGGGTAGTACGATTAATGAGAATTTCCGCGGCTGAAGGGATACCGAGAGGGAAAATTGTGACCGTAACCCTGACTAAGGCCAATTTATACGAGCGCTCTCTGTCTGCATGTGACGTACGCCGTGTCTCGAAATAACGTCGCGCGATTACACAATTACACAACTACAACTCCATATACTACCACGTCTCTTTATAATGAGCAGCTCTAATATCTCACGCGTTTTATTAGTCATTATAACTCAGCTCGCTGTCGAGCTTAACGTAAAAGAGCAATTATAAAGAAAACGAAATGTGTTTTTAGGCAGTGTAATCCAGACCGCGCCATATGCGTACGGAAAAATGCAAATTTTAATCCACTTTTTATTTACTCGTTATGTAACTAGAATTAAGCTCGGTGAAATCACATAAAAATATAAAATGTGATTGGGCAATTTCTTCACACAGAACTGTGTGCAAATAAATATGACATTAATTATTCAAATAACTTGTATCTGTTCACACATATTTCGACTAATTTTTCCTGCAAGTACCATAAAATGGTTTTATGAAAAACAAATTTTCCGAAACGATGGTTTTTTTTCTTAATAAGCGTAGAATATCTCGCAACAAGAAGGAAAGATTTAAAAAATCTCTCGTCCTTCAAAGATGTTACTAAAAATTCTGAAAATACATTGCCGAAACGATCGCCACCCGCGTATTTCCAGCACACCCAGTATCGACGCGAAGCCATGATGCACGTATTACGATCGATTTCTGTCTCGGCGGGTTCTTCGTGCAAAACCCATTCAGTATGATATCGAAAAGTAAAAAAAGAACGCGAATGGCAACGCCGTGTCGTTGGAAAGATGCCATGAGAAATGCATACGCGACGCATATGGAAATCTAGTTGCAATAAAATACGTGACCGTTCGTACAAACGTATAATAGTAACTTTCCATATGGAAAATGCATCCTCCAGACATTTCCTCCGCGATTGTTCGACCTATATACATCGGATCCCGGATGCCACAAAAATGTCGAATTGAGTGACATATGCCGAGCACGCGCACGGCGTAAATATTCCAAAAAAGTGAGACGAATCGAATACGTCTGCAAACACGACCTTTCCTTCCTTTCGGCTTTCGCGCGCAATTAAGGCGGAATAATGGCGAATAATTAAAAGGTCTCAGTTAAACGATCGTGCATTAAGAGAAAGTTCGTCTTTGTGCTTTCTCGGAGATGCGGCGAAAATGCCGATAGTAATCGGGTGATGTTACAGGAGATAAAATCATCTCACTCAC